GGATATAAAGGAAAGATCACTTTGTATTTATATATACAAAATAGTTAGGATAAATATACAGCTACTTTAGCTTAATTCAACGAGAAGAAAGAGGTATACTAATAATGTTTGGACAGGAAATCCTGTCTGCTTCTTGTATTATGGATAACCACTAAGAAGATAACAATATACAATGTATTGATTATCGAAACTGTCCTATTAATCAGCTTTGAAACTGTAAAAAAAAAAATAAAATAAAAATGCACAATAAACAAAACAAAACAAAAAACAACTGAAGAGAGGAGAAACCACAAAAAAGAAAAGAAAACTAAGACATTCAACTCTAATTCTGAGTCCCACATGAGATCTAGAGGGAGGAGTATGGGGTTAACCAAAACTTCAATATGTTCATCTAGGGAACATGTCAAAGAGCTCCTATTCTAAAGTCATAGGGACAAAATATGGACAGAAAGACACAGAATCTTAAAGGGTGTCAGGGCCCTGTAACATCAGTGTCAGCAGGATTAAAGACCCAAATAAGCAAATGAGCAGAAGCGTCTCCTTTCTTCTCTTTTTTTCTTTTTGGCAGAACCAGGGATTGAACTCAGGCCCTTGCACTTGCCAGGGAAGCACTCATTCTACTGAGCCATCTCCCTGGCCCAGCTTCTCCTTTCTGATCCTCCACCCCCTACACACACAAAAAGGGTGAAAAAACAATGAAAATTTAGGCTTAGGACAAAAAAAAAAAAAAAATTAAGGCGAATCTAGGCCCACTGTTTGGTGTCAGTGGTAAAATGTTAACAAATGACAAATGGAAGAAAAAAAACACTTTTACTTGGTCTTCAAGAAAAGCTGCTTATCCAGGAGTGGTGGCACAAGCCTGAATCCCAGCACTTGGGAAGCTTAGGCAGGATTGCTGTGAGTTCAAGGCCAGCCTGCACTACATCATTGAGACCCAGCCTCAAAAAAAAAAAAAAAAAAAAAGAGCTTCTCTAGAACAAATCAGCAAAGGATTGGTGAAAGGCCAATAGCCTATGAATGTGTGACCTCAGGTAACATTGCAGGTAAAAAGCTGATCATTTCTGAGGAACTGTTATATCTTTAAACAGAGCTAAGAAAAAATCAAATGTTAAGAATCTCTAAAGTCTTTAAGAAATACAAGGATTATAATACACAGCACTTCTCTTTAGCGTGTCTATTTTCTATCATCTAAATTTTCTATTGTTTCAATTTATGCTAAGGAGAGCAGGGGGGCTGGCTTAACAGCATAAGCACCTACCTGGAAAGCACAAGGTCCTGAGTTTGAGCCCCAGTACCACAAATAAATAAATAAATAAATAAAGTCTTCAATTTATGCTAATGAAAGATTGAAAACATGAAGTTATTCTTTCTTTCTTTTTTTCTGTATTTTAGGGAAGGGTCTACCAGGTTTTCAGGGTCTCACTACTAGATTAGACTTGTAGTGATCCACCTCTTTTATAGTCTCCCAAGAGCTGGGACCACAGGCATGCGCGACCACGCCCAGTCTCAATCGCTGTCTCAGTGCGCCCTGGGGGCGGGGCCAGCACCGCAGGTCCAATCCGCTGAGCTATTTGGCCAGCCCTTATTTTATTTTTCAAATGGACAACTGAAATAAACATTACTAAATTCAGTCTTGGTTTAAAATATCAGTGTAAGGTTCTTCTCTTCTAGAATAAAGAATTGAATGAAAAAAAATAATAAAATATCAGTATAGCTCTCTGCTTCCTGTCCACAATGAAATTCTTTCCACAGTGCAGCACCATCTGTGCCCTGCATAGGCATCATGTCTTTAGACACCCAAAAGTGTGAGTTAAATAAATCTCAGGTAGTTAAAAAAAAAAAAGGAAATCTTAGTTTTTAAAATTTTGGGGAAAAAAATGTGATCCAATATGAATTAAATTTCTCACCTGTTTGTAGGCATAAAATTCTTTATGTGCTTGATGTCTCAGCCTAAAAGACAGAAACGAGCAATGTGACATTAAGATTCCAGTAACTTGAAAACAAAGACTGATTTGTTACATTAACTTATATTAATATTTTGGGTTTTAATTTATCACCCAAATGACAGATCTTTCACTATGTTATGAGAAAGTATCCAGTGAACCAAAAAATATTACCTAAATTGTAAATTCTGAAATCTCACTAAAATAAAATCTCAATACAAGTACTGTAAAGATGACTCAATTGTTTTTATACTGATGAATTCTACTTATTTCAATATTTAGTAGTTTATCACACTTTTCTTAATGTAAAAACTTAAATACATAAAGTATAATAAAATATGGTGATTACTTAAGTTAAAAAATTAAAGTAAAAGAGGGGGCCTGCCCCTTGGCTCAGTTCTTTAAGTGACTGCTTCAACCAAGCAGTCAGGCTCAGGTTGCTGTGGTTCGATCCCCACAACTCAAGCCAGCCAAACCTGCCCTGAAGGCATTCGGAGGGAAAAAAAAATTAAAGTAAAAGAAAAACTGTCATCAGTTCCCCTCAAAATACTCTCCTCTTCAAATACACTTTTTTGGGCTGGGGAAATAGCTTGGCAACCCAAGCCACCTGCGTGGCAAGTGCAGGGTCCTGGGTTTGATCCCAGGTACCACAAGCCATGCCAGCCCCGTGCTGCGTTGGCCACTGTAATCTCAGCAATGGGGAGGCTGAGACAGGATGATCACTGAGTCTGAGCTGTGTAGCAAGACCCTGTACCAAAAAAATAAAATATTAAAAAAATAAAATGTATACAGATACACTTATCCTATCATTCTTGGCAATTTTTTTTTTTTTTTTACACCTTTAGTGACATACATCCAATAGTAAAGTACAAAATCTTTAAGTATGCAGCTCCAAAATTTAAAAAATTTATATGCCAGGTTAAGTATCACTTATATTAAGATGCAGTACATTTCCAGCAGGCCTAAAGTCTTTGAACTGACCTTTCCCCATCAATATCCACCTTGTAGATTACCCCATCCCCACTTCTCTTACTTTAGATTATGCCTGTTTCTGGCCTTCACATATACTATAGAAATGATCCCTGAAAGTACAGCCTTTGGCCTTCACATAAATGGGTCCTTTAGTATATATTCTGCTCGGCTTCTCTCGGTCTACAGTCCATCACAAGATCCACCCGTAGTGTTGCACTAATTCCACTAACACAGCTTATTCATTTTACTGTTGAATGAAGCTGCTACACAAATTCTGAATGCATCTTACTGAACACATAATTAATTTCTGTTGAGGATATAAATAGAATTGCTGGTCCAAAGTGCCTTACCAATTTCTACTCCTGTGTGTAGTTCTTGAGAAACTGAGAACTGTGTAGTAGGCTCAGTTTAAAGGTTTTTTTGGGGGTGGGGTGGGGAGTGGGTCAGGGAGATGGCTCAGTAGAATAAGTGCTTGCCTGGCAAGCACAAGGGCCTTAGTTCAATCCCTGGTTCCGAAAAATAGAAAAAAAAAAAAAAATGAAAAGGTTTATTTATTTATTTATTTTTAAACAGGATCTCGCTATGACCTCGAAATCCATGCAATCCTCCTGCCTCAGCCTCCTCAGTGCTGGAATTACAGGTGTGCACCACTACACTTGGCTTAAAGTTTCTAAACATTTAAATGTCCAACTTATCAACTTTCTCCAATTAAATTATTTCTTTTATATCCAGCTAAAAGAATGTCTGCCTAACCATAGTGGGAAGATATCTGTCTGGGTGTGTGATGAAAACAATGTTACTTACCTATCACATTAGGTCTGTGAGCCATCTAAAGCTGGCTTTATAAATGCTTTGAGGTAGGAGCTGAGCTTCTTTTATCCAGATGCATTTTTTTCCCCCAGTACTAGGGCTTGAACCCAAGCCCTTTCCACTGAGCTATATCCGCAACCCTTTTACTTTATATTTTTGACAGGGTCTTGCTCAGCTGCCTAGAGAGAGTTTGAATTTCTTTTTTTAATGTATTTGGTACTGGGTTTTATTACACAACTCGGACTCGTAGTGACCCTTCTGTTTTCATCGTCCCCAGCACGGGGATTGCAGGCGTGCTCCACCACCGCAGGTCTCAGTGGTTACCTTGGTGCATTCGGGGTGGGGATGTTGCTCCAAGTGCTGCTGGGCATAAAACCCTGGTCCCTGCACTCGCCTACGCAGATGCTCAGTCCACTGAGCTATCTCGCTGGCCTGAGGGATTGAATTTGTGATAGTCCTGCCTCAGCTTCCCAGAGTGCCCACCTTATCCCTACAGATTTTCACTTGCTCCCATTATTTATTAAAGACCCTCCTTTCCTCACTGCTCTGGTCTACTGTAAATCAGATGTAGTGTCTGGTTTGCTCCACTGCTCTATTTAACTATCTTTGCACACTGGTTTGAAGTGGCCCTCAAAATATTTGTGTCTAGGGAGAATCTCTAAATGTATTTTTTTTTTTCTGAATGTAATTTTATTTGGAAATAGGCTTTTTTGGATTATTAGTTACAATGAGGCCATATGGATTAGACTGGACTCTGATGTCCTTAGAAGTGAGGACAAAGGCAAGAAAGGCCACGTGGCCACAGAAGCAGCCATAAGCCAAGGGTGGCCAGTGATGAGCAGAAGCTAGGGAGAGACAAGGAAGAATCCTCCAGACTTTGGGAACATGGTCCTGCCAACTGTTTAGGTTTATTTCCTCTTTTGAAACAGTCTTGGCACACAGTCTAGGCTGGCTTTGTATGTACAATCCTGCTTCAGCCTCCCACATGCTAGGATTAGAGTGTGACACTACGCCCATCTCCTGCCAACACTTCCAGCCTCATGACGATAAGGGATGAGATTGCTGTTGTTTTAAGTCATTTGGCTTGTGGTACCTTGTGACAGCAGCCATACGGGACAGATAGGCCTTTTGCTAACAATATGCTTAAAACATGTTGAAATTATTATTATTATTATTATTATTATTATTATTATTATTATTATTATTATTTTGCAGAACCGGGGATTGAACTCAGGCCCTTGTACTTGCCAGGCAAGCGCTTATTCTACTGAGCCATCTCCCTGGCCCCTGAAATTATTTTTAGACTTACAGGAAAATTTGAAACAGTTCGCATACTTTTCCTAATGTTTACATTTTATAGGGCCATGGTAACATGATCAAACTTGAAAATTTGATAAACATACTGAACATTAATATTAGTATATTATTATTATTATTATTATAGATAGGGACTATGTAGTTCAGGCTGGCCTCAAACTTGCAATGATCCTCCTGTTTCAGCATTCCGAGTGCTGGGATTACAGGCACACACCAGATGCCTGACATACTCGTAAACTACATTTGTTCCACTCACATCCTCTGCTGCTCCATAACTTAAGAGCCCACTACACATCTAGCTATGTCTCCTTAGCATCCTCTAATCTATGGCGATTTTTTAGTCTTTTAAGATGTTAATGCATTAACTTGATCACCTGTTCCACTGGATTTCTTTTGCAATTGAATTTAGGACCTTGCACTTGTCAGGCAGATGCTGTGCTAAGCTCTATCCTTGGCCCCTTCACTGGGTTTCTATTTGCCTCTTTTAAATGATAAATATTGTGGAAGAGATATGTCAAAACTCCAGAATACCTTATTTCTTCCCCTCAAGCTTTTGCCCACTAACTTTAGCATCCATCTTGCTTGCAACAATTGTTACAGTGTTTTCCTAAGGGTGGTTTGGTGGCCCCCAACCCTTGTATATTAACTGGAAATCGTTCTCCAGAAAGAGCTGTCTCCGTGGAGCAGTGTGCACTCAGGGATACTTCAGGCCTCCTCATTACGATCACTACTTGTTGCTAACACTGATTTGGGCCTTTAAGCGACCTTTCAGGTTGACACCTGCGTCTTCTTATGACCCAGCATTTGTATTTCCTTAGCCTGGCGCCAAAACATCTCACAGGTTCATTGTACTTTCTATGCCCTTAGCCTGGAATTCTCTACTTCTTCCAAGGAGCTGCAATAACCTTTCATTGCAGAATAATATTTAGAAGCTGAGATCTAAGCACTTAGTGAATACCACTGTGTTTAATCACTAGAGCTTTTAACAAGTGTTAGAGTAAAAGTCTTCATTTTGTTCTTAAAGACTTGCTTGACTATTCTTAGCCCTACATTTCCATATAAATTTCACAAGCTTGTCAGTTTCCAAGAAAATAACCTGATGAGGCTTGTGTGGAGCTGTCTAGATTACCTGGGAAAGAACTGACACCTTTGTAAAATAGAGCCCAATCTATGGGTGTAATATATTTATTTAATCTTTAATCATCTTTTGTATGCTAAGAATGTTTCCAATCAACTATAAACAGGAGTTAAGCTATAAAAATTTTGATTTCTTGCTACTACCCAGAAAAAAAGCAATTCCTGTATATCATTCCCCTACCTAAAGTCTTGCTAATAAATCACTTACTGTAAATAATTTCCTGTAGAATCTTTTTTTTTCCTCCCCTTGGATGATACTGGGGATTGAACCCAGGCAGGACTGATATATCCCAAACCTTTTGTCATAAATTTTGAGACAAGGCCTTCTTGCCAGCAATTTGTCAATGTTGAAATGACCTACCATCATGGAACAAATCCTATTGGATTGTGATTTACTACCTTTTGTGGACTCTGAATCTCATTCACTAATATTTCGTTCAAGGGAAAGACCGCACTATAATTTATTTTCGTGTAATGTCCTTTTCAGGCTTTAGAAACACAATCATGCTGATCTCATGTGTGTTGTAAAGGATGCCCACCATTTCTGTTTGCAGAACAGTCACATGAGTGGAATTTTTGCCTCTTTTGGAGTTCATTGGCAAAGCTACTTGGATTGCTTCCTTTGTGGAAATGCATTAACACATTAAATTTCTAATTATATGTAATTATTACATTTTATATTCCTGTCATCACTTAAAATTTTTTATTTTTATTTTTGACAATATTATTTTTTATATTTTGACATAACTGGGCATCTTACAGGGTACAAAT